GGGTCTTTGAAGCAGCCAGAGCTAGGGGATGGGGTAGAGGAGAGAAGTCAAGGCATCTCTGCTAAGGACTGAATGAGATGCACTAAGCACTAGCTCTCAGAGGAACCCTCCTTACCTTGACCTCACCGCCTGCTTCTCACTGTACTCCACAGGGAAGCTGACCTGACAGTGTATCCTGCCCAAGTACCCAGGACCATAACCAGCTTTCCCATTCAATAGACAAATAGCAACTCACAACACCTACACCAAATATGTCTCCTAGGCAGCCCAGTTCTTTGTTTGTAAATATGAACGGACAACAAAGGATTATTAGATTGTTTTGAGGATCAACAGATTAAAAAAACCCTGAAAATGAAGGAAGGGATGGAATAAACTGAACAATCGACAAAGTGAAAACAGATAATTCAGGGAAGATAAAATAATTTAAAAGTTATAAGTAATATTCTTAAAGATATTCTAAAAGATATTGCATCTATCAAACAAGAACAAGCTTCTGTGAAAAAACAAGGTATCAATTAATAAGAAAAGCTTGTTGCAAAATTAGTTGGCCAAAGGAATCATTGCTAGAGTTGAACAATAAAATGAAATCATCTGAAGATTAAGTTAGACATCTAGAAGATGAAGTTAAGAAACTCTACCGGAACATAGATCAAAAAGACAAAGATGGAAAATATAAGACATCCTAGAAGGAGAAAACAAAAGCAACAGAGAAGAAATTATCAAAGATATAATACAAGGAGATTTGACTTACCTAAATAAGGACATACAATTACTATGTGGGGTAGAATATATTTAAAAAGTCCAATATCTAGACACATTCAAATGATAAGCATTCCAAGGATTTAAAAAAATCCTAAAAATTCCAGAGATTAAGAAAACACATCTACAAAGAAAAGATAATGAAATGTACATGAGACTTCTTATCAGTAATACTGGACTCTAGAAAATAATGAATGTCTTCAAAGTTCAGGGGAAACATACATTATATCTGAACATTGAATAATAGCTACCTATTTTAAAAGTTTGTTGATTTGCAATTTTTAGGATCAATAAATTGACAAGACACAGTAGACTCAATTATAGCTAGAGAACAGAATGTTGTTGTTATAGACAACAACATCATTAACCAAATTTGGGTAGCAGAGGTGGAGTGAGGAAGAAAGAAAGTATTGTGGGAGTATTGGACTCCCCAACTTTCAAATTCAGAAGTCAGCATTTTGTAAGTTGGTAAATCAAGAAATGGAGAAATACAAAGTATATTTTTAAAAGATATAGTTGTAACTACCAGAAAAAAATAAAAATGGAAGGTGTTAATTGTGAATAATTCCTCCAGAGAATAGAATTGTACTTTCCTATAGTGTATGATTTTTTCGTGCAATATATTATACACATACACATACATATGTATGTGTGTTTGTATAAGAGTGATGTCTGAATAGGATCACAATGGAGCCAAGGGAGGAATCAACATTACTAGGAGGTTGTGGCTTTTGAGACAAACCGGCAGCTTTGGTGGCCTCTGGATGCAGATGATTTGGGATTGCATGGCTTTTGGGAGGCCATAAACGAGTCCATAATTGCATGCACAATGTTTAGACAGGATCAAGCAGGGACATCTCTAGCATTGTAAGTGTAGGATGTGTGCATGTCACCTCAGGGCTGGATGGTACTAGGTGTGTCAGCCAATGTGCCTGCCATGCCCTCTTCCTCCCCTGCTCAAACTGCCCTGCCCAGAACCCTACGTTGAAGGATGAAGAAAGCAGCACTAAATTGGTCTTTGCATAGGGATGGCCAATGACTGTTCTGCAGTCATTCAATAGCCTACTCATTGGACCATGGCGTAACCTGGTAGCTAGAGTTGAAAGAATTCAATCAAATTCCTTTTTTTCATGAATTTGAACTCAGAATGTGGAGAGATTTGGCTGGAAGCTGACAGTGTCAGGAAGCTGCTATGAAAAGGCCCACAAACTGCAAGCTTGAGACCCCTGGAGTCACGCGAGTCCACAGCTGTCCCCCAGGTGCAGGGGCCCATGGCTCTCCTTTACCTCCTGTGCCTGATTTCCAAGGGAGTCCATCTCCCTTGTTAGACCATGTGTGCCATTCCAGTAACTACTTCTTTTGCCTGAGCTAGCTTGAGACACTCGTTCAGGCATCCAAAATCAATCTAATTGAAAAAGAAGCCCGACAACTGTGTTCACTTTGCATTCAGAAGGGAAGAGAGGCCTGGTAACCGCTGTCCCCTGGGGCAATAGGATGAGCCAGTATCGCTTTATTGCACCCCAGCCTGCACAAGAGTTGGGTGCAGGAGGCTGAGGTTGCTTTTTCAAGAATAGTGTTTTTTTAGTTTTCTTTTTTTTGAGGAAGATTAGCCCCGAGCTAACATCCGATGCCAACCCTCCTCTTTTTGCTGAGGAAGATTGGCCCTTGGCTAACATCCATGTCCATCTTCCTCTGCTTTATATGGGACGCCACCACAGCATGGCTTGACAAGCGGTGCGTCAGTCCACGCCCAGGATCCGAACATGCAAACCCGGGGCCGCCAAAGAGAAAAGCACAAACAACCGCTCCGCCACTGGGCCAGCCCCAAGAATAGATTTTTTTAACTGCTTAATTTTTTTCTTTTTTAAAGATTATTGAGCTATTAGATTGGAGGTCTCAAGATATTTCTCAAAGCCTCCAGTCTTCTAAAACGAGCTTAGGAGATAATTAAGAGGAAATAAGGTTCAAGTTCTCTTTAATGAGTTTTATTTTGCTCAGATCCAGAGACAACAGAACGTGGACTGAATCTAAACCTTCAAAACAGGAAGAACAAAGGTGTCTGGAAGGGGTCAGAATGACCACCCTGCTTTTCTGTGAAACTCTTCTCCCTGAGAGCCCTTCCCAGGGGGCCTGAGAAAGAAAAAAGCAGCCCTTGACAGCAGGCAGCTGGTCTGGCACCATCAGCCAGGCCTTGGTATCTTCCTGTTGAGCAAAAAATTTCACAGAACATCAAGATCAAGCAAGGCCACCCTGTGAGTTCGATGGATCAAGAAAAAATAGGACCACTCTGCAATCACATCTGAACACAAACAAAACATGAACATTGTCCAAACCACAAAAATGACCAAACATCCCCCTATCTAAATAAGCTTTATTAAGGCACCCTGTCATAGAATTAGCCCCACTTCCTGATAGCATCCAATTTAGAGTAAAGCCCCACTTTCTTCAACCTTCCCTAAAAATCACCTACCACGAGCCCAGATCCTTTCAAACCTTTTAACACCTCTTACTGAGATGCCCCACGGTTCCCCATGAAGTGTGTTTTCTCTCCCTAAAAAAGTAATAAACTCAACTTGCTGAGCAACAGATGTGTTCCTGGTGGTGTTTTGCTGGAGAGTTTTGACAGGCCTAAGGAATGTCATGTTTCTCCGCTCTTCTCCTACTATTACTTGTCTCAGTTCATCAGAGTGGCTGCCCTGGATTAACTTTCTCGGTCCAAGCAACAATCGCCAACATTTAGCAAGCACTTATTACCTGCCAGGCGCTTTGTAAGGATTATCTCATTTGATCTCCACAATGGCTCTATGAATTGATAAGCTTCGTACCCCATTTAGAGATCAGGAAACTGAGGTGCCAAGGTTACAACACTATTAAGCGGCTGAGCCAGGAGTCCAAGGCAGCCAGTTGGCCCGGCCCTAGGGCTCCGATGCCCATACCTCACTGCCTCCTGCTGCATCGGTCTACTGGGTTCTCATGCGTCACTGAATAGTGTGCGGTCACAGGTCACTGTGCCATCAGCCCACACTGAAGGGCACTATGATAAGCAGCACCAGGAAATCACTGCTGAGTTTCCTACAAGATATGAGAGAATGCAGACCCACAGTAAAAAAAAAATCTCCCTAATCACAGTACCAGAAATAACTGAGCTGCTTCTAAGCAGTTGGAGTTTTTTTCACCTAATGAAGACAATTGTGTAATCAGAGTTTTTCAACCTAATTTAAGAAAGATATGGGATGATTTTATAAGTTGAATAAACCTAAGCAAGAAAGATATTCCCTTTGCATTTTTCTTTCAGTTTTACTAAAGTGATCAAGAGAGCATTCCTGCTTGGTAGTGATACGACTAGCATTTCTTTATCTCCCCAGGAAGACAGAGGCTGAGACACAGAGCCTTGGAAGGTGATAGTTAATATCTAGTGAGATTTCAATAACTCAGTTTTATTTTATTTTATTTATTTTTGTAATTACCTTCCATCTATAGCCAACTATACTGATTTTCCATTTATAAGTGACATAAGTTTCCTTTTTAAAGTTATTTCAGTAAAAATTTGAGTTCATTTAAAGAAAAATGTTAGGTAAATAGTGGTACAGGTGGTAGGAAACCTAACAAGGAAACGAAAATCATGAGAGTGTTTTGGGAAACTCTGACTTCAGTGCCCTCTTTGCCTCAGACGCTGGAAAGACCAGAGTTAATTCACGGGTCATTGATCTCCAGGGTGCAGTGCCAGGCTCCATGATTTCACCTTTTAATCTAACTCCTGGCTTTCTCTTCTATCTCCTCCCTCACTTTCCCGTCTGCCTTCCTGTCTTGCTACTCTATATCCTTTCAGAAAAAAATACTAGGGGTGTGGGGGTGGGGTGGGGGCGAGGGACACTCCTGTTCTTGGACACCGTGCCCAAAGAGTAGAAGTGACCCGGGCTACCTCTTCGCTATGTAAGGAGCAGGGAGCTCTCAGAAAGCCCAGCGCATCAGATTTCCTCTGGTCCTGGGAAGTTTTAGTTCTTCAAACTGGGCAGGAAACTGCGTTTCTAAAACTGCTTGGACAGCGGGTTCTTTGGCCCTCCTCGGTCCCAGCTTCGAGTCACTCTGAGAGCCTGTTCTTAGAAGAAGCGTGAATGAATTCAAGTCCTGCAGTGTTTGAAAGGCAAGGAGGAGGTGCCACAGATGCATGCCACTCCCCTTTTCTGATTAAGCTGCATCCTGACCTTCAGTCCACCTCCCTCCTCTTTCCAATCCCTCAGAGTGGGGGAGTTCTTGGGGACCCCATGGAGGCCTGGGGGTGGGGTGGGGGTAGAGGGCAGGGATGGAGACTGGCTCCCGGGATTGGGAGGGGGATGGGCAGCGCTGGAGAATGACGCCCAGAAGTCGGGGCAGCGCAGCCCCAGAGTCTCTGGAAAGCCCAGCAATCTAGAAAAGCGAGCTTTAGATTCTCCCCCAAGAGTTCTCAGGAAGTTTGGGGGAGGGGCGAGCCGCCCTCTCCTGCTCCACGGCGCGGGAGGGTGCAGAGGGACGATTGCAGCGGCGGGTCTCGGAGCTGTCACGTTCCGCCCAAGGGCGGGCTCGGGTGCTCCTGGCGGGGTCCGCCGGGCGCAGGCGAGGGGCCGCGGGCAGAGCGCGCCGGCCGGCATGGAGGGACTGGTGCTGCTCAACGCCCTGGCCACCCGCCTGCTGTTCGTGCTTCACTCGCTGGTTGGGGTCTGGCGAGTGACCGAGGTGAAGAAGGAACCGTGGTACTGGCTGCTCGCGCTGCTCAACCTCTTGCTCCTTCTGGAGACTGCGCTTACCCTCAAGTTCAAGCGCGGCAGAGGCTACAAATGGTGAGCGTACCCCGGGAGAGGGAGGGCGCGCGGGGTCCCCAGGTACCGTCCCCCATGGCACTCGCAGCCCAAGAGCCCATCTCCTAGCAGCCCGCCGATTCTTTCCTCGGATTCGGACCCCCTTTGTCCTTGCTGGGAGCTTCAAAGGAGCGCGAGATGCTTGCGTGTCTCGTGGGCAAGCCAGGAGTACCCGCAGGGTCCCAGGGCAACACTGGGAAGGCTCGAGCCGTGAACGCAGCCGCGCGTCACCCAGTCCCAGGTTTGGGAACTTGGAAGATGAGAAAAAAGAAGGAAAGGGCTTGCCTGCTCTGCAGAAAGTGCTCCGAAGTGGGGGAGTTGTGGGGCAAGGAGAGTGGCGTGTGCCTTGTTCTTCGAATTGGGAATGTGTGGGTGTGCACGGGTTAGTCTGCGTTCATGCAGATGTGGGAATGCCCTTCGCTGAGCATCAGTGACTTTTGCAAGAGCTTGTCGTTTTCCGGCAGCCTCCCAGGGCGAGAAGCCCTCGCAGCACGTCTGTGATTTCAGACTCTTCGCTTCCTTCCAGCCTCTGGCGCCCTGGCATGGCACCAGCCTCAGATGTCCCCGGTTGGTTGCTTCTTCGGAGCTTGGTTAATAGGCCATCTTGTCAAAGACGAGTTGGGACGCTGGTGGAGGGACCAGTAGGTAGTGGTTCAGACTTAACCTCAACGTGCAAGGACTGTTGGAGGCTCTGCATGGTGCTTTATTTCCTTCCCAAAGACTTGAATGGCAATAGAAGAATTGGAAAAAGATTCTCTCGCCCTTTACAAACAGCCTCCACCTCCATCCCTCCACATCCAGTAGATTTTCATCCCAAACTTCTCCAAGTTAGTCCTCTTCCTGTATTGATTTTTAAAAACAACGAGGCTGTGTTTTCTTATATGTCAATACTTTTTAAAATACCTAATGCTATGAGAAGGAAGAAAATAGTATTAGCCAATTCAAGAGTTACATATACTATGGCATTATACTTAGCCACCATATTCAGGAAAAAAAACCAACAAAAAACCCAAACTTTCTCTACCGTTTTACGTATTAAACTGCAAAAGGCGGTGTATTTCGTGACAGTCCCAGGAAGAGAACGTGTCTCTTAAAATGTGAATCTTGCTTAAATTTTCCACTGTTAAAAAATTTCTAGAATTATCAATGAAAAAATTATTCAGTAGAATCCTACTTGAATACGATGAGCATTGGAATGTTACTGTTCTCTACCCCACGCCCCCGGTGAACAGCTTACTAAACAATAGAGATCTGAGGTACTTTCCAGTGTGTCTCCTGGAAATCTCAAAGAAAAATGGCATTAGCTTCCTAAATAAGCCTTAGGGTTAAAGAAACAAAATGAGTGAAAAGTGTTCACCCAGCAGGTCAGATGACATTGATTTACTTTTTACTGAGTAGCTTTAGTATGCTAGGGTAGAAATACCTTCAGTAACAGGAGGATGAACTCTGAGGGTGAAAAATGTTGCATTTAAGTAGTCCTGCTACCAACCATCAGAGCTTCTGGGAGAAATGTCAACCTCAGAAAAGGGACCAGCTCAACAGCACCGAAATATTCCACCTCCCTCTCCAAGGGTAGACCACAGACCTTAGCTCAGGTTAAGTCAAAATTCCACTCCAGTTATGTAGAATTACTGTAGCCAATGGAAGTTTACCTCCATGTCTATATCATCATTGACAGCTGACTCAGACTGACGTGTAATTTACAAGCAAGAGTGGAAAAAAGATTGGGGCAAAGTGGGTGATGGTCAATGCGACAAGTTCAATAAAGAACTGAGGACATCGTTGTGTTTAGAGTGTGGCCTCAAAATCAGAGACACAATGGAGTAAAATCAGAGCTTTTCTACTTGCTGTGAGGCATTGAGCAAGTTACTTAACCTTTCTGAGCCTCAGTTTCCTCATCTCAGAGGTTATAAAAGAATTAAATGAAATAATATATCTTGATGGTCAACAAATAAAAAAGAAATGGTCTTTTCTAGATCCTAAGGTTTTTCTTTTTTTTTCTTATTAAAAAATATTCTGTGTCAACTGGACACATTTTCAGTCTGCACAAGTCAAAAAAATTTACTTGAGAGACTGGCCAATAAACCATTAGTTCAGAGCCAAAAAGTAGAAAAGAAATTCTCATCTTTATTTCAGAACAGGCCCATGATGTACATTATAGCACTACTTAAAAAAAATCTTGCTGGCTTAGTATCTAGGCTAACATTTGAAAATAAGCAGAGAAACAAAGCTGATAGATTTGGCTTATTATAAAATTTCAGGAACAAATGAGTCTTTGTAAATGATCTAAATAGAAGTACGATGTAATGCTTTGTTCTACTGATGTTACCAAATGCAACTAAGTCTGCAGATATGGTCATTTTTATGGTGGACAAAGCCCACATGCCATTGTGTCACAAGTTTGAAAAAAAATTAGAGGATAGAGTGCTAAAAAAGAAAAAAAGGAAATTGTCCTTGAAATAACATGGCAACAATTAAAAAGGGTTTGATTTGGGGCATATTTCATTTCTGAGTCCAAGTTTTCTGAGTAAAACAAGGCATAATGTTTTGTTGTTTTTGAGTGTTAAAAAATGTTTTCATCAGAAAATCTAGGCCGATAGAATAAAAAAAAGATAAAGTAAATATTATGGCAGTATCTATAACTTTATACAGGAAAATGTTAATATATAGAGATCTAGATAAATATAGATATATAGATATGTCTTTCGATCCATTGGTCTTACATTTTGGAATCTACATTATAGAACCAAAAGTACCAATGTGTGAAGACATATGTATAAAAATATTAATTTCCATCATGTTAGTGGAAACTAAGCCCAAAGCAACCTGATTATCCATCAATAGAATGGTTGAAAAATTGTATTATACCCACACTATAGAATATTTTGCTGGTATTAAAAATAATGAACTAGATTTTAGCTATTGACCTAGAAGGATGTCCATGGTATGTTGTCAGGAGAGTAAAGTTACGGGGTTATGTATATTATGGTCTCATTTTCTTAAAAAAAGGACTTGTCAAAGAATTCCCTTTGTATCAACTGAATACATTATCTATTAAGTCAAGAAAAAGAAGAAGGAGAAACTCCCCCATACTGAAAATCAACCAACCAATCAATCGATCAATCAAATAATGCCTGAATGGTAGACTAAACTCTGTACACACATGAGGTGAAAATTTCTTTTCGGGAACATCAGACCCATGAACCTCCTTTAGACTATTCCGGGCTAGTTTGAACATTGTTCTTTTTACTAAAATTTGCACCTGGCCCCAAACAAATCAAATCTACAGACATCATGGAACAATAAACAGAGCTATAGAGGAAAATGTGAGCCAAATTTCTTGAACTGTAGCAAACATATCACACTTGTCCAAAGAATGTTTCTTTAGCTATCCTTTGGAAAGGAAAAATGGAACTAAAGCTGCTGAACTCAGCTGTCCAGGGACAGGCAACATTACGTCAACACTCATAACTTGCCAGTTGGAGAAGTTTAATTTGCTGAAATCCTATAGGATAGAGAGAGTAAGCCAACGACACGTCCCTTGTTAAGTCCTATCAATGTGTGCTAGCGAAATTTGCTCCTTTTCACCTAGTATTTATTTATTTCACCTGCATTTTCACTTACATTTCTATAAGATGGATATTAGTATCACTTTGCTTTATTTTTTTGTGATTTTATTTTCTATGGACTGGGCAACAATCCAATGGATCTGTGAATTATGATTTAGGTAAAGTCAAATAGAAGACAATATTTTAGTTGCTTTCCAGCCAATACTGATAAAATATTCCTTAGGGGATAGAAAAATTACCAAGAATGTGACAAGTTTGAAGCCTGTTCACTTGAACGCAGGAGGTATCTGAGAATAAGTAGAAATCTAAGTTGAATTTACTGGCAAAAGGACAGAATTTTAAGCACTGAGTTTTATTCATCAGAATTGCAAGAATACAAGGGAAATATAATTGAGTTAATACAAATACCGCACCTATGTGGTCACCTTTCTTTGTTATCTCTCTTTCCCTCTTCCTTTATTAAGTTCAGTCAGACAACTGTTTGTTGAATTGCCAACTAAGTAAGCATGATACTGTGCTAGACACTGCGTGACAAGGCAGAAGAAACAGAAAACAAACACATTTGAAATTTTAAAATAAAAGGTAGCATTTTGATTAAGTGCTCACGTGCATGGGAATAAGAAGGATTATAAACATTTAGCATTTACTCTGTTTAGGCTCTTTCACATGTTCTACACTGATAATCCCATTTGATCGTGATAACATTTGTAATTATTTTCTGTTTCTCTGTTTCCTCCCATTTTTAGTTGAGAAAACTGAGGCACAGAGCTATTAAATCATTTTACCTAGGATCATTTAGTTGGCAATTGGGAGAGCAGGGATATTAAGACTCCAAGCTCACGCTCTGACCCACTGCTGTCTTTAACAATTTAAAGAAAAGATATGATGAGGAGTACTGTGGGGGGGGGAGCGAAGAGATGAGACTTTAGGGCATCTGAGCTGTAGCATGAAAAATGGATAAGATCTACATCTGGAGAGAGGAGTGCAAAGGCTGCGTAGGTAAAAGACGTCCTGAGGGAGGAGAGTGTAGGGAAACATGAGCAGATTTCTCTCGAGGAATCACAGAGCTCTATCATTCTTCATTCAACACATATATCTGGAACATATAATATGTGTTAGACGTTGTTTGAGTGCCAAGAATATGGAATTGAATAAAACAGGTAAGATCCTGCCCTGAAATAACTCACATTTTTGTCAGGGGACTCAGAAAATAAAGTAAATGATAAATAAAGGAGCTAATAAGTAACAACAAGCAAGTAAACAAATGAGTGACCAGAACTGTGAAGGCCTAGGTGATGTGGGTTATAGAGGGATGGAGTACCCAGGGAAGCTTGCACTGGGTGGTCAGAGGCCTCACTGGGGAGGTGATATTTGAGCTGGGTCTGTTAGAGAAGAGAAGGAGCCAGGCATGAG